GCTGGACTAGCCTATACCAAAAACTAATCAGTACGTCTCCACATCAATACGAATCGAATGTTTTTTGAATCATCCAAATTGGCCAATTTGTTCTCTCAGAACCTGTAATTCTTTGCACTTTTTGCTCCGTATCTTCAAAACGGCTAGACCTGTCTTTGCCAGAAACTAATCAACACGTCTCCTTATTAATACGAATCGAATGTTTTTTGAATTATTCAAATCGTTTGATCGGTGTTCCCAAAATCGTCGACAAAAATTTGTATCCGCACACACACACACAGATACATACATGCACACACACATACATCCATTTTTTCTAAGGTATGCCAAAATATTTAGAAACCTTTGAAACGTTTCAACGTAAAGATATAAAAATTTTCATTTTCGAATTTTTTGCGATTACTATAACTTACCCTACGGGAAGTTAAAAACATTTTTCGATAACAATTGTATTAAAAATATTATAACACGTGCTATACTTATATATTTATTTACAGCTAAATATTTTTAATACAAAAGATATTTATAAGCACATATATGAAAATAATTCCTATATGCAAAAAATTTTTTATTTACTCAAGTTACAATAATTTAATTAAAAAACTGAAAAATTTAATTGTACTTTTTATAGCCGGAGAACCGATTAAATTTTTGACGGCAAATATTGTTCTAATTTAATTTAATAAGTCTGAACGATTATTTGATTTTTTAATTGAGAAAACTATTTGAAATCAAATGATATCAACATATCAGCGTAATATACAGATACAAAAAATTATATCTTTGACTATTTTGCAATTATAAGTTGATTTACATAGATAAAAATATGTAATGTAAATTTAAAATGATTTCGAGCTCTAATAATTAAAGAAAACAATGGAGCATGCCAGCAACTATTATTTACCAATCAATAACTTAAAATAAATGTTTTTCTAATTTTTTGGCTTTCCAGCTAGGACAAAAAGAATAATGAAATTTACATTCATAACAATCAAGTAAATTATGAGTTCAGTTTGTGTTTGAATTTTATTTACATCAGTAATTAATATCAATTCGTCCTGAAATTTAAAAGTTGTTTTAAAATAAAATCACATTTCAAACTATCAGCAAAATAATAAAAAAATATCATAAAAATTAATGAAATACAAAATTTATAATTATAACACTTAATTATACTAATAATTTAAAAATTATTATGCACACTTGGATATTCGTACACATAACTTCTTATAGGCGACATAAATATGAGTGTAACCATTTGAGCAAACTAACGTATATGTATGAACTTATATAAATATATACATATATGAACACACATGTGAGTACATACATACATACATATATATATATATATATATATATATATATATATATATATATATTCGTACATGGTTTACATATGTGAACTTACAATAAGATTCAAAGTAAGAATTTGATCACTGCACTAACTCATTATTATGTTTGACTAACGCAATTTTTTTAATTGTTGTCGATTGGTGACTTTTGTTTTCGTAAATGTTTTTATATCTTTGAAACGTAACAAGTGCATTGACTTAATAATAGCCGAAGCTGACATCGTGCAGAGCGGGTGCACCGCCTGGAGGTAGAGCATAATCTTTAGCTAATTGGTCCAAAACTCCTCTGGCTGGTGTTTGCCTAACTGGTGGACTCGGCCTCACTGGAGCGGGTTGGCTGGCATAAGATACTTGTGGTACCTGCAACAGAGAGTCATTTATTTATAATTTCTAAAATACATTATGTGGATTAATATTCACTATTAATTACCTGTGGTTCAGGTCTCACGCTATAAGATGGGGGTGCTGGTTGGGCTCTGAACAAAGTTTGGTGTGGCGCAGGTCTGGCCGCAGATGAATCAATTTGGGTATAATGTGGCTAAAACAGTTTTATATAAGGATTTACTAACGATTCAAAGGACAAAACTAAAACTGACAAAGTTACGTATTTTTATATTAATTTATTTTTAATTTAGAATTCATTGGAACAAACTTGATTTGATCTTATAATCAATAAATACAGGGCCGGATTTAGAAATTTGGCGCCCCGGGCAGAGACAAAAATGCCGCCCCATCACTGACTGATTTTTACGAACTTTCGAACTTTTTTACGACTTTTCGAAGTAATCGCGCTGCTTCAGCTGCGTAGGAACAAAATATAGGAGCGCGTAAGCGCCGCGTCGCAGTCTTACGAATAAACAATGTTACCTAACCCATATAAATGTAAACAAAATTTATACTTATTATTGACTCTGATTGTTATAATTAATAAAATTAAAAAAAAAATACTTATTAAAATATTTTTAAAATATCTGATAGTTTGATGTGCATATGTCTTATGATCACTTTTGTCCACCAAATGTTTCTTTTTAAATTTTTTTTATTGGATCATCGAAATCGCTAAACCTGCCTCCCACAAATTTAAGCAGTTATTTATTCTATAAATTTTTTTGAATGATATTGGACGCTTCTTTTCTCAACAACTAAATTATCATTTTTGGCATTTTGGCCCGTATCTTCAAAACAGTTGGACCTGCCTTGGCCAATAACTAATCAGCACGTCTCCTTAACAATAGGAATTGAATCATTTAAATCGATTGATCCGTGTTCACTTGAATAATTAAAAAATATTAGATTTGTATTGATGGGGAGAAGTGCTGATTAGTTTTTGGCAGGAATTACGAAAAATGGTGATTGAGAATTGATATTTCTTCTCTGAAACAGCTACGCAGCGCAATTGCTTTGCAAAAAGTTCATAATTTTCAAAAAATTTCAAAATACAAAAAAAGTGTTTTAAAAGTGAATTTTTTTCATTTTCATTTTTTTTTCAATTTTAAAGCTCTTTATAAAATGTAATTTTCAGTACGGGATGTTTCAATAATTTGTCTTAAGGCACAATGCCATGCGTCACTAGTTTAATTTTCTTTTTCAACGCTATAAGCTTGAAAGTGCCTAAATTCGTCATTTTAAGAAGGCTCGAGAACTGAAGAAAATATTTTTTTAAAGTTTCAGCTTGTTAACGGATCTTTATATTAGCCAATTGACAAATTTGATAATGACTTATTAACCAATTTGATAATTTACGTTCGGAGAGGGAGGCAAGGCAAAATAATAAATTTTAATAATCGGTTATTTCAATCCAAATTTTCCATTGCAATCGTATTATGTTTTGTTAATTATATTTCTTGAAATAAAAAATGTTGTTAAAAAAAGTTGATTATATTGTATAGAATTTTTTTCTCACTATCCAAATTTTGCCGCCCCCAAAAATTTGCCGCCCTGGGCAGTATCCCCGATTGCCCCTACTGTAAATCCAGCACTGAATATATAGTCTAAATCAATTAAAAATCAGACTCAGACATACTATTTAATTTTTCGATTTACGAATGTTGATAAACGATAAGTATCTTCCTACAGAAAATTTAATATTGTCAAAAATACACATTTGTATAAAATTTATTTGATTTTCTTTGAAAAATAAATGAACGTTAAAAACCCATTATTTCAATTAACTTCTTTCTATGTTATTTAATTTAAATTATTCATACCTGTGATCTAGCGTTCGACACTGAGTAGTCGACTGGTTCTGGTCTGGGCGGTCTTGGTTGTGGGGAGTAAACCACACTTGGCACAGCCTGGGATCTAGCGCCTGGTGGCAATGGCCTATATTGCACGACCTGGGGCTGCTCATACTGTTGCGGTTCATATTCTTGGAATTGCGGAACTGCGTGCGATGGTGGTCGGGATACACGTGACACTTGCTGCTTTTATTTGAAAAAAAAAGTTTTTGATAGTAGTTATAGTAATAGTATAAAAAATATTAAAATATGTTCAATGCATTGTCATAGTAAATGATAAAAAATCTTTTAAATGTGACGATATCCCAACGCTAACGTATGTACGTACCCACTTAAGTAATTTTCTGAGCATTTTAAAATAGGAATTTGCATCAGATATATATTTTATCATCTGCGATTTAAGCTAATTAAACCACACACAAATTGTTCTAAAGAAAAAATCAATAAAATAAAATATTTAAATAAAAGTTAAACAAAAAAATCAGGTAGCTGCTAACATAACTAATAAAATACGCCAAACGACTGTCCGAAAAACACCGATATAGAACGAAGGGGTTCACATATACTTGATCCAAGATCGGTTCAACGATAGTTGGAAATAGGGAATGCAATACCGATGGAAAATTTCAATACCGGTATTTCGGTAATTTTTCACTTTAAAACCGGAATACCGGTAAATTACCGGTATTTTGTATTATCCTAAACAAACGTAAACAAAATTGAAAGTTACTAGTACAAATATAAAAAAATGTATATACAACTACAACTATATTCAACTAAACAATAAAAACAATAAAATAAAACAAATTTATTTTTTTAAATAATAATTTAACAAAATTATATCCAATTTAATTGATTCATTATCACTATCGAGTATATTGAGTACTTTTCACCAAAAACAAACTTATGAGTAAAAAAGTCCAAAAACTCATAAAAGATCATATCACATTATTATAATAAACTGTACTGTCTGTATTCGATGTGTTAAATTAGCATAATTTGCAATATTTTAAAAATATAATTTTTCTACACTAATTTAAGATCGGATACTTTGTCGAGATAAATTATAAGTTAATATAATTGTTGAGTATTGTTATTTAAAACAATGTTATGCTTCTATTGTATTTTCAAACTTCGAAACGTTTTCGAAAAATAATATTTTATAATTGTAATAAGAAGCGAAAATATTTAGTAATTATCATAATTATTATGTATAAAGGTAGATTACGCAAGGGTAATCTGTATGATATAAAATATTTTGGCGCAAATATCACTTAAAAAACTGTTACATTTTTACATAAGATAAAACAAACATTTTTATCTATCAGTCCAATTCTATTTATTGTAACACGATATGAAGCCCTTAGTGAAGTAATAAATATTCAGTTTAATGACGAGTTGAGATAATATTTGACATTTGTTTATCTTATAGAATCACTTGAAGATATAGCTGTTTATGCGATTATGGAATTTAAAGATAAATTTGTTCCGAGAAATTTAAACTTTAATGTATTATGTATCAAATAGCGCTTATGTCAAAATACCGAAAATACCGGTATTTTTGGGGTAAATACCGGTAAAAATACCGCCGTAAAATCGGGCGGTTTACCGGTAATTCGGTATACCGGTATACCGGTATTGCATTACCTAGTTGGAAACAAGGATGGACAAAAGACTAAACAAAAATAGAATACCACAGTATTACAATATTTTTTTTCGTTAGTCATGCTAGCAACTATATAATTTTCTTGTTTAAATTTTATTTGAATATTTTATTTTCATGGTTTGTTTCTTTGAAACAATGTTCTTTAATATCATGTTTTATCCTGGTATGGTATGTATTCATAATTTTACCAGTTATGTCTTCTATTAATTTTGTAATATATAATTAAAAACAATTTTTTAAAACTTTGTGAAAACCTTTTTTAGGTTTTGTTAGATATGCTGGATGATGACAAGTTTCAACGTCGAACATAAAAGACTGAAGTTTTTTGTCTAGTCCAGACTTGTGAGCTTAGCAAATGCGCCTCTTCCATAAACAGTATATTTCTTTGTGTGTTAATTGTTCTACATTTTAAAAGTAATAAGTATCTAAAATAATGTATCGTGCCAATGAAATTCCTCTCGGTGCTTTGTCTATATGTCTATCTATCTATTTAAATTGAAAACATACTGCCGATGGCGTTCGGAATGTATGCATATAACATGATAAGTACATATCATGCAAGTTGTGAAAGTTAAGACATCACAAACTTCTGATGAAACCAGTTAAATCGTTATTAATTTTTCTTCTGAAGAAAGTCGCAATAGAAATTTATTATTGCATGGTTAAGTGTTCTTGTACGTTGAACTTACTACTCGCATTACGTATTCAATTAAGAATAGTCGTATGTGTGTGTAGTGCACTACAGGAAAATATTGAGCATTTATTGCAGATTATGGAATATTTGTACATACATACGCATGATATATATCATAATTATATATTAATATTAATCACATTTGTACTTTTTTTGTATACATTTCAGCAAGTAGCAACTAAATTTTAAAAAGGGTATACCTATTTAATATGAGCCTTATTAGTTTTTTTTCGGTTAATTCTTTATTGAGTCTTTCAAAATAAACAAAAAATGCATCTAGAAATATTTTTACACAGTACTTCTAAAACTCATTTTGACCAGGTCGATCAACTACCCAGAAACATTTTTATGGTTGATCTAGATTGGTTCACAATACTAGAAAATACCTGTGGTTTAGGAGCAGCGGTAACTTGGTAGAAGGAACCATCATCATAATCTGGATTTATCGATCCATCCTTCCTTGTAGTTTCATCGACCAACGTTGGTGGTGCCACAGTTATACCCTCACCAGCTGGTTGGAAGCCATATTTGTTTGCACCATATTCTACCACTCGTACCTGGATAAATAACGATTGAAATATCTTAGTTTTCATATCAATTCAATAATGACAAATATTTACTATCATTGTAATATTAACATACTTAAAAACCAAATAACAAAAAATGCAATAACAGATATACTTGTATAGAGTGGCGTCGGAACCGTGTGGGCTGTGTGGGCTTGAACCCATCCATGAATTTTGGGCTCAAAATTCTCAGCCCACTTATCAATCTCAAAAATATGATATTGTGTGGGATGTCTAAAAAAAGAACAAGCCCGCACTAGCTGTCTAAAAAAAAGAAGACCACCCATCAAAAATTTGCTTCCGACGCCACTGCTTTAATTTAATTTAATCAAGATATACTCCATATTTTGGAATTTCATATGTAGAGTTAAATTAGAACAAACTTGTGCCATAGGAACAACTGTGTACTTAAAGGAGTGCATAATAATTGCTCATTTCGCTACAGATTTTCAAGCCAAAATATCATAGTTAAATAATTAAGTAAGTACTTTATTAAGACTTGAACTAATTTATTTTAACCCTTAACGAACAAGTGAAATCTGTTCTGTCTCACCTATTTTCCGGGAATTTTTCAGGGGAATCAGATAAACATTATCTAAAGTAATTATAAATTTAAAACAAAACTTTATTAAAACAATTATAATATTTTTTTAATAATTTATAATAGTATTGGTATTTGTTTAAGCGAGTAAACATTCACCTTTTCATGTAATGTAAATCTATGGAGCCAGTCCGTTAAGTGTGAAAAGAAAAGGAGAGAAAACTTGTATATTTTATCAAAACTTAAATTAATACTAACCTTTCCATTTTCATCGACATATCCATATTTTCCTTTCACTTCACCCGTCGCCAATTTAGTTTCTATTTTGAATGATCCATCGGCTCCTTCGTATCCATAAGTATAAGATCCATCTTCATTATGCCTGGAATAGTACAAAAAATAAATAAATAGAGGATGAAAATTTTTGTCTTTAACAGATACAACAAATAAATTCGACTCTCGAGAATTACAATTTCAAGTGTAAATAGCAATTCACTTCTCTTTATATATTATTTATATGTAATACTAACAATTAAGAGAAAATATAGCTAAATGTCGTTTAATATTAAAAAATATTTTTGGATGTTTTTGAAACAAACGGAGTTATTTTTAGTGAATTGTAGAGGTTTGCATGTTGTGTATTAATTAATTTATTATAATTATTTATTGTAACTTTTGAACGTTTCGACATACGATTTTGCCGTTTTCAGATAAAATATAGTAAATTATAAAATCTATAAGCCACTGCAAGATTTTTATAATACCCCTTACTGTTAGCGAGATATCCGCTAAAAAGTGTTTAAATTATTAACGTCAAAAACTTTAAAATGCTTGTAACTCTTAAAGGTTTTGAGATAGGGCTTTGAAGTCTATGGCTAAAATATATATTCGAAATATCTATCCGTCAGTGCAAGAATTTTTAGGATATCTTTACAGTCGAAATATTTTTATAGCAGAATTCTAAAGTCGCAGAGAATATACTGTAAAAATTTGAGCAACTCGAATTTTTTTTTAAAAAAAAAGATAAATGCTCTAGGAATGATGTTCGTGAAATATGTTTCTTTCTGAATCTTGATAGAAAAGCGCAGTTTACAAAAGCCAATTGTGCATGTATAATACATTTTTAACATTGTTTATAAAACAATAGAAATAAATTAACATACTAGGCGCATATATGCTATTAAGATATATACTTAAACAATTACGTCAATTAAATATTTACATATGAAAAATAAAATACAGATAACTGAATAATTTAAAGAACTAGGCATTTGTGTTGCAAAAAACTTAAATTCGTATAATAGTGTGTAAATATAATTTTATATCTTAATGTAGAAGTAGATAGTAGTTAGTGAACGTGCAAAGAATGCAATAAAAAATATTTCAGCTAGGTGGAATTACAAGAAAATTGCAATAACACCATGACTCCATCGATTATAATGCCATATCTGTCGTATTACACAAACATGTAATATACTGTGCTTATATAATATTCTTGCAAAATGAATAGGGTCAAAAGATAAAGAATCAAATTCGTGATCGGCCATTTACATAATAGAGAGTACATCATACTAAATAACTCGAATAAAGACAGCCTGACAAATCAAAAGTCGCCTTGCGATTTTGCACAATGTCTAAACAATTGATTTATTTGATAATTTGAAAATAATACTGGATATGAACTAAAACTATAAATATAATTTTGAAATTAAAATGATATAAATATAATTTTATTCTTATATTTCTTGATTTTGATACTGTTTTTTCGAGTTCTATTTACAAATGAACTAACATTTGTGGTTAAAGTAACTTAAATTGATACTTGAGGTTGTATTTAAAGGTAACTTAACAACTTGCCGTAATACTATTTTGCCAATATTCATGCCTTTATTTAAATGTTTTAACGGTATTTAATTTAAGTTTCATTTGTTAAACTAACTAATATGTTTTATATATCTATTAACAGCTATCAGAACTTAAGTCCTGTAAGCTTGTTGTAATGACTTCTTGATAATTTAAGATAAGGCTTTAGAAGGCAACTCAACGATAACGCTATCTCTCTTAGGAGAATTTATTAGTAAAACTAACTTTAACCCTAATAACTCTTCATTGCAGCAACCCTATGAAAAGGACTATTTTCACTTGAAACTAATTGCTATCTAAATTTCCAAGTGGAAAGCGATGCCACTACCGCTTGGCATCAGGCAAACCGAGATGGGTATCGAACCTGGAACTTTTCATTGGCATCCATTGCTCTAACTACTAACCCACGCAGTATGAGATATTATTGTTGTATTTGATAGGATTTTCAAAGGTTTGGTTTTGAAAGTCGCCAAGCGATTGCGGTCAAGATTTCTACTAAAGAGCAAATACTTCAATATAGCTAATTCACCATATAATAATTTGTCTGAACTGTTTTTTCTTATGATTTAACTGTGGTCCTTGAAATATTATTCACGGTCACGGTTCCAAAGTTTAAATGAAAAAAAAATGTACAAATTAACTACAATAACCAAGAAACAATTTACTAAAGTCACAATTTTACTAAAGCTCTAGGTTGCATTTAAAAGCAGATCGAGCTTAGAAGCTTAGAGATTTTTTTCCATTTTTTCAGGACAGTTAACATCAATACATATACCCCGTTTCAGCTTGACGTCAAGGTATGGGACACCCTGTATACATGTATAAACAGTCAACCTTCTTATAACGCGGTGAGTGTGTATCGTGTAATATGGAAATCACACTATAAGAAATTTATTATCCAGAAACTAATAATCCTCATGATAGAAATCACATAATTCATTCTGCGTTATATGGAAACCGATAATAAACAAGTTCAATTATATTTTTTAATTGAAGAGTTTGTATAAGAATATGATAAAACATATAAATTTATAAATAAATGAAAATAAAAATATCATCCGTTGGATTGCCTTTTGAAAATACACATTGTTAAGGAGTAGTTTCATCACAACAGCACAAGACTTGGTGTTCAAAAATAATTATAAAAATATATGAATTTTAGGGAACTATATATCTGATGTCTTTTTGATGAAAAAAATATCTTCCTCACTTTATTTATCTTCACATTAGTTTTCAATTATTGCTTTTTTACTAACTTATCACTGAAATATCTCAATAGGGTACAAATAAATTTTGTAACTTTTATTTAAACTTAGTACAGCGCACCATTGTACAATCAAGTTGCATAAAATGAGTTCTACTAAGTATTTAAAGTTCATTATATATCCTTAGTTTCGTTTAATAATTCATTTAAATTGCATCAAAGAAATTTATTAGTTCTTCTTAGTATAATGTTTCACATTGCAAAACATATAGAAGTAAAGATAAAACTTGCATTAATTTTTTATAATATCCAATTATTAGTCTCATTATATGCCTACTACAGTCTATTTTCTTTGCGAGAGGAACTTGTAGGCTATTAAATGAAATTAGCGTTGGAAGAGCACCGCGTCATAGGAGGGTTGACTGTATATCATAACTAGTTGAAAGTGGCATTTAGCCTTAAGGCAAGTTGCATAAACTTCCCGAAATGTGTAAGAATTGACTTAATCAATCGAAATAGAAATTTAGATACTTAGATAATTTTTTCAACGGTTTCTTATTATTTTAAATTTTAATGAATTGATAATGTTTGATTCACCACATCACAAAAGCGACTTTTGACACAATGACTATAAGATTTTTTGAAATTTTGATGAATTTTCAAAATTAAACTACTTGCCGCAGGAACGTAACATTTTAGTATGTTATTAACGGACCATTATATCTATAAAAAGATTCATCAATGAAAATTTTTCCAATAGTTAATTACGAAGAAACGGCTTGGTAGATTTTTACCTAAAACTAATCAGTATCAATCCCAACCGATATCTTTTGAACAGTTTTTGATTTTTGGAATCGATTCAGGATTATGAGCTAAAACGTGAACGAAAAGTTTTACAATTTTCTACTATTTACAAAGAAACGGCTCAGCCGATCGTCGCACAAAACTGAGAAAAGATAATCCACATCGAAATACATCGATTAGCTTTTAAAATTTTGGAATCGGTTCAGGCGTTTTTGAGCAAACGTTGATTTACATAAAAAAAATCGTTCACACACACACACACATACTATTTCCAAATTTGGTCTCATTCGATTCTGAATGGCTTGAAACGTCGAGAAAACATAAAATTAGCGAACTGGATTTTTTTATGAAAACAAACTGCTCTTTCAAGAAGTTAATTATATCCTATTATCCATTATATATATATATATATATATATATATATATTATGATTTCTTACCTGTTAATTTGCTTAAGAATTGGCACCGGTGTAGGTTTCGGAGCTTCGGCTTGCGCTAGCCTGTGCGGCGGTGGTCTTGATTGGTATTCATGATAATCTTGCGAAACCGCCAGCGATATCACAGCGAACAATGTTAACTGCAATTCAATGTTACATTAAATTAAACGTTTTAAAAATAATTATATACATTTTTTTTACACTCTAATTCTCATTCAACTATAATCACTAGACAGATATTAGAATGTCCATAAATGCCAAAGGCGGCATTCATAAACGAACGAACTTTGGTGACAATCAATCTTGACCTATAATTGTAGAGAGTACTTATAAACATGAAATATTAATAGACAAGGAAGGACGAAAACACGACAATTAGTTTATTAAATTATTGATAATTAAAATTGTATAAATCAAAGGTATTTAAAGAGCTCCTTAATAATTATAATTAAGGGGAATAGATCATGTATTTCAAAATTATTATGAACTTTCATTAAGAAACTTAGCATCCTCTGAGGAGGTCTATCGTGTCTGGGCGCGAGCCCTTGACCACTGATAATAGGCTCAAAAAAATCTTACTCAAGAAAATTTTACTTTTACTGTTGGAGTGTGGAGTCGCGCAATTTTTAAATCTGTTAATCACATAACGCATTTAGTCCATTTTTATCAATAATAAAAATATGTTAGAAAAAAAAAATGAAAAAGAGGTTTTGTATAAATTGCCAAACTGTGTTTGCAACTATTTGTTCAGCAAAAGTTATCGTTAGTGTGTAGTGCAACTATGTGGCATAAGTCGAAAAACAAGTAAAAAACTAATGGTGATTACAAATAACCAAATACAATATGTAATATCCCTGTTTTACCATTCAACCGTGAAGCAAATTCGCAATGAATTCGTATCGATTGAAATGACATGATTTCGTATTAAGTGAAATCTAAAACAAACTATTTTCACGACATAGTGAAATCTAATCAATTATGTATCACGAAAATAGAAAATCATATTGGAGAAGATTAAAAGTATAAATATTTTATCCTTGCGTTCCCATCTGATATTTTCAATCAGATAATAGATATTCAATGATCTATATTTTAGAATCTGACAACTTGCTTAAACTTGCAGTAGCAAATAGTTTATGCTTGGACTTTTTATACTAAAATTATTATTAGTAAATTGTCAGTATAAATGTAAAGAGCAATTAATTATTATTTTTAGTATATGAGCAATCAGAGTTTAAGTGCGTATTCTAGTGTAGATGCATGATATCATATTTTATATATCTTTTTTATCAACTTTACAAAAGCACAGAAAAATTAAAACAAAAAAGTTAATAATTTTAAAAATTAGCAATGGTGGAAGTGGGGGTCTCAAAAACATGACACGTGACCATGCCCACGATTGCAACCCTCCTAGTAATCCGAAAATAATTAAGAAAATAATTTATTAATCTAGAATGATGTCGTAATGGTATATACCAGGTTTAGGTTAAAAAATAATTTTTCGACAAAATGCTGACTGTTTGAAAAAAAAGGATCTATTTTCTGCCATTTTTTGAGTTTTTCGAAATTTGGAGACGAGGCTAGCATGTGCCTGAGAGAAGTCTATGAAATAGATTCTCCGAAAATTTCAAGTAAATCGGTTCAGTAGAACTCGAGAAATCCTGAGCATCCTATTGAAAAAGACAGTTTTGAGAAAAACTTTAATGTTTTGCAAAATGAAGGAAACAGAATAGGATTATTATGGTCAAACCGCTGTATTTCCGAAAATAATTTAAATATTTACAAATCTTCTCGTACACATATTCTTAAATAGTTAAACTTTGACAATATGAATTTTTGAATTTCCACACTAGAATACCACCTTGACTAGTCATATGAGCTGTGCTGACTTCTTTAAAGACACGCTTTTTTTATAAATATCAACCCAAACGGTTGTCCGAAATCTATGTGATATGATTTGAAGAGATGAAAACAACGATTACTATTAAAAGTAATATTACGTTGTAAGCTATGGAAAAATATATTGAATGTATAGAACTTCTGCAGCAGAATGCAAAAAATAACCAAACTAGCATTATGATTTCAGAGTTGTGTCAGAAAATAAAGTTGTATTTGATTTTAACAGAAATTCGTAATTTGTGAATATAAACATGTACTCATGTGCCGTGTTTTGAATGTTTTTTTATTATTTTCGTGTGTGCACGTATATAGATTTCAAAACAAAATTCAAACCAGATCAGCAGACTTTCACTAAAAAAACAGCGTCCGTCGCAATAAAAACACGGCGCTTAAAGAGAAAAGGAATGACAAAAAAACACCGACAAACATGACTTGTAAGTTAACTTAAGTTCCAATAGAAATTAATATTACGCAAGAGCCAATGTCTCGGTCAGGCACATTTACGTTCTCCAATACATTTATACGATAGATTAATCTGGTTACAATAATGTATCAGAGAGAAATGATCTTAATTGAATAATAATACGAGAAGTACGGACAAAATGACATGGTGGTTTGTTTATTAATGATATTTATTTATTTACCAATATTTTAACCAGTCTCAATGACTTGTACCCATCGTTGGTTCATTGACTACCAGTAACTTAGTCTTTTAATTAAGTAGGAACTATAATAACATATTTATAAGGAAAAATGCAACCTATTACGAAAACCATTTTGTCCATATAGTACGGACATAATAACATATATGATAAGGACATACTGAGATGCTAATTTTGAAGAAGGCAGTACACAAATAAGTCGTTTGGTCCTCTTTGGGACATCAGCAAATGACACATGAGCCCAAAAGGAACAAATTGTACTTCGTAACCAAAATTCGCTGGCCTCAGAATGCTAAAAGAAGTTATTGCAATAAATGCAAGACTCTTCCTTTTACCGGCGGATCCTTTGAATTGTTATTAGAAATTACTGGAGTAGAAGTTAAAAGCCAATCACCTTTCACAAGTTTTAATTGTCTAATTTCTTGGGTTCGATAAAATACCATGCAGTTCTTGTGTTATTTTGTTCAAAAGTAAACAAGAATTAATAAATAATAAAAATTTCATCAAACATCTGATAATTGCAATAAAATTGATCAGAAGAACTAGTACTGGAAAAAGTCCTAGATGATTTTACTAAAAATAATCAATAAATAAGGCCCCAAAAACATTAGAAAAACATCCTTAAAATACATTTTTGACGACAAGACTATTACAATAATGCTCAACGTCTGACAAGATTGTTATTACGGTTTTCGTCATGTTATACAGACTCGGCAACTTTGTTAAAACTAGCCAATTTCTAATAAGGACACTTTGTCATTTCCTCCATATATACCGTTTTCATTTTTTTCCATCCGTATTTCTCCTACACGTAATGTTGTGTTTATATATTCAAATTCAATTTTTCAGGTGTTAAAAGATACAAATAAAAACAAGTGTTTTTCATGTAGGCATCCACTCTAAAATGTTTGAAATGATTTTTAATTCAATACGATTCGAGTTCTAGTTTAATTCTTCTTCATTAAAATATTGTGCTTTAAGTCTAAATTCTGTGAGTGAGAAATGTGCCAGTTGGCTTAAATGGTTTTTATATGTTGGTATTTATTTGCAAATTTTTAAATATGCTGTTATTTGAAAACCACACCATATAGAGGAAGTGGCTAGCAATTCCAAAGTCGTATGCAATTATTAATATAAGCGTTTTTTAATAATTTAAATAAAAGTCGTATATAACTGTTTCAATTAAAATTAACTTAACAAGCAAGAGATTACTCGAGATATACCCTTACATGATTATATAAAATAATAAAATTAACCATTACCTTAACATGGTTATAGGGGCAATAATAATAAAATTAGTTTAGAGTCAATATAATACAACTTTATATTTGCACTCAAATTAATTTGCCAAAAAAGTTACAGCAATCAACTAACAAATATAAAAAATAAATCTCAAAGATTTAAATTCATGATAATAATAGAATGTAATTTTATAACCACTGAAAGGCAACCAATGGGCACACCTTCTAATTGTCATTTCATAGTAAAATATTGCTTTGCATTGCTAAATGTCTAGACAGAACTTAATAATACATATGAGCTTTGTAATTAACCATAATATTTTTAAAAATGCCGATTTTAATAGTGGTCATGTACCGTAACCAATCCTTAATGAAATTTTCTTAAGACTCTATATGATATGCAAAGTTTTATATAATCTTTTGAAAAAAAAAAATATACACACGAATTAATTTATTTAATTTATTAATATACCTATAGCAATAACCAGTAATAACTAATATTATCATTATATTGATATATTATTTATTCAGATCTACAAATGAAGGCCGACTACATGACAAAAATAGTCTATTTTTTAAATTAACAACGACTATTTACGCTGTTCTCAAAAATAACACTACAATTTTGATTTAATAAAATTATATTGTAACACTAGTAATAAAGTTATTATAAATTCCGTTTATTATACTTCGCATTTCGATAATAAATTTATTATATCGCGTATTAATTTAAGTTATACATACTTAATGTTTATTGGTATAACTAAATTATGATTATAATATGCACAAAATGCTATAATAGCAGTTGAGTAAATTTATTAAATAATTCTCTGCGCCGTGTTACATATTTTAATAAACCGCTTTATTTAGCGAAAGTGTTCTGACTTAATACAACCTTATATTGCCATTCGAATTGCATTAATGTGTCCAGTGGAAATCTTGTCAGTGCTACAATTTTAGCAACTGCAGAATAATAATTACACAAGATATATATATATATATATATATATATATATATACTAGCATACCCTGCCACGTGTTGCCGTGACTTTTATTAAAATCTACCTCATTCAAATTGGAATCCGTTTGCCAGCCAATATTTTAATCCATTTCGCATAGAGATTTAAATCAATCCAAAAACAAATAAAATTGTAATTTGAATCTGATCGATCAATTAGCAGTTCAATACTAAATGTTTTGATTAAAGTAGATTAGGCGTCCATCGCAAACCAACGTCGTGACACAACCTTTATATTATACATATATATATATATATATATATATATATATATATGTGATGAATCTCTCTCGCCAAATACCAGATCAAGGTTATATACG